GGTATCTGAGATTCACTTCTCTTGCTGTCAAGCACAGAGCAGACCTACAGAGGAAATTCAGTGAGCTCCCCAGATTGCTGCTTTTTTCCTAATTCCAGGAAAAAATGGGTCATTCTCTGCCTTGTTTTTCCCACCAGGTCCAAGTGTTTCAGGAAGCTCCCTGATGGACACCAAGGGCAAACATCCAGGGATGGAGGGCGGTCTGTCTGGCTTCCGCAGGGCTGGCAAGATCCAGCTCCAGGGATGCGTGCACCTGTCCAGGACCCATCCCTGCAGGGCTGGTGGGACTCTGGTCCCCAGAGAGAAGCTCAGGAGGGCACAGAAGCTTGAGAGGAGAAGCCTTGCAAGAACTTGAAAGAGGAGCTGGACTCCAGTCAGACACAGTGGGATTCTCAAGAAGGGTTCAAGTCCCAGAGGGCTGTTATGATTGGAGTGAGTAATCAGCATACCCAGCTGGCAATTAAGATAAGCCACGCCTAACGGAAGGCCAAACCCAGGAGGAGACCTGGGGGCTCCCCAGGTGCACTTAAGGAAGGGAATCGCTGTTCGTGTCCAACTCTTTGTGGCCCCATGGACTGCAGCACGCCAGGCTCCTGTCCTTCACCATCTCCGAGAGTTTGCTCAGAGTCATGCCTGTTAGTCAGTGGTGCTATTACATCCCCTGTCGTCCCCTCTCCCGCCTTCAATCTTTCCCAGCATCTGGGTCTATTCCAATGAGTTGGTTCTTCATATCAGGTGGCCAAAGTATTGGAATTTCAGCTTCAGCATCAGTCCTTCCAATGAATATTCAGGACTGATTTCCTTCAGGATGGACTGGTTGGATCTCCTTGCAGTCCCAGGGACTCTCAAGAGTCTTCTCCGACACCACCGTTCAAAAGCATCAATTCTTCACCCAGCTCTCAGCCTTTTTCACCGTCCAGCTCTCACATCCGTAATGACTATGGATGCACATTCCCCCGGTGTCCACTAGGTGGCAGACCCTTTCCTTTACTGCCGCTAAGAGCTTGTGCGTGATCGCAGGCACCTCCTGATACTCACGCCTGAAGGATCTCTTATGACTGATTGACATGCAGATTCCTGGGCCCCTTTCCAGAACGTCCAGTTCAGTTTTTTGGGGCCTGAGATTCTGCATTTCTAAGAAGGTCCAGGTGCTGCACCATCTCAGACTCTGGGAGGGGAGGAGGTGGGCGTGAGTCGGGCTGTCCTCACGGCTGAGTAATCGGTTCACATTGTGGCAAAAACTATGCGGAGGTGTAGCGTGGCTCGCTGGACAGAATCGGATCGCTGGCTTCTGGGTGGAAAGAGCCTCCGGCACTAGAGCAGGTTTCAACTGTGGGATCTGTAGCAGGATGTCAGGGCTCCAGGGCGCTCTTTTTATTTAAACATGTTACCAGTTAGTTTCCTTAAAATGACTGTAACACAAAGGAGCACGCATACGCCTAGACTGAAATAAAAACTGTACTGCGATCAACCCGAGAAAGAAGACATTTGGTACCCACTAAAAATAAGCCTGAAGAAAAACATGAAGAACGCTACAAAGCATGTATCAGAAAATCTCAAACAATTTACAAAACAGCCAGTCCAGGACGGCCCAATCCTTGGTTCTGCGGCAGCAGACTTTTACATGGGCTCTGCATGGCTGACTGACTGGTGCTTTTGACAAGATCCAACTAGAGTCTACACCGGTCAGTGAGAGGGATCCACTGAGCAGCCTTTGAATGCCAGTGGCAGTGCCTTCCGGTAATGACAGTCTGTAACGCTTCCTCTCCGTTTCTGTACTTGCATCAGCAGAGACAGGTAGGAAGTAAGAGTTTGCAGCAGGGCCCCCAACCACAGGGGCTCCCTCAGTGGCTCAGAGGTAAAGAATTAGCCTGTAGGACACATGAGTTCCATCCCTGGGTAGAAAGATCCCCTGGAGAAACAAATGGCAACCCACTCCAGTATTTTTGCCGGGATGTGCCATGGACAGAGGAGCCTTGTGGGCGACAGTCCCTGGGGTCGGAAAGAGTTGGACACAATTTAGCAACTAAACAACAATCCAACCAGGAACCACACTCAGAGGCGCCTTGGTCTAGAGTGGCTAGATCACTGATTTGGGAGATGAGTTTTAGCACAACTTCAAGTGGTCTGTTTGTTCTTTTGGCTTCTCCACTGCAGACCCTTGACTTTGTATCCTTTAAGGCTTAGTCGTTACTGCTGTTCAGTCGCTCAGTCCTGTCTGACTCTTTGCAGCCCCATGGACAGCAGCAGGCCAGGACTCCCTGTTCTACGCCATCTCCCAGAGCTTGCTCAAACTCATGTCCACTGAGTCGGTGATGCCATCCAACCATCTCATCCTCTGTCTTCCCCTTCTCCTCCTGTCTTCAATCTTTCCCAGCATCAGGTCTTTTCCAGTGAGTCGGCTTGTCACATCAGGTGGCCAAAGGGTTAGTTGGTTCTCACCAGTTCCTCTTGGGGTCCTGGAAATGGGGGAACTTGGATGGATTTTTGATTCTGCTGCTATTTTTTCTTCAAGACTGTGAAGGACAATGTCCTGCACTTAGTAGCCAGTTAATAAACACAGATGGGATGCATGGAATGGCAGCCCAGGAAAGCGATATCGAGCGCGCCTGCAGGCTAGACAGAGAGAGCCAGGAGATGAGTGCCCAGCCTGGGTAAGACAGCTCTTCCATAGTCAGCTGGCTATCAGAGAGGACCCAACTCCAGAAAGAAAAGCATCTAATCCAGATGTTTCCCCGGCCTCTCTGCCGCCTCATCAAACACGGGTGTCCACTGGGAACGCGTGAAGTTACAAGGTTTCGGCCATGACCACGTAGGCATCCCCTGACTCCCCGTGCTGAACCCAGGCACTGCTTCGAATCCATGCCAGCGAGGATCCTGGCGGTTGCTCTGGAAACTACAGCAGCATTTACCTTTGCTGTGTTCCCTTTACAACTAGAATCTGGAGGAAGGGCTTTCATTCAAGAGTTTAATTACGTTCTCCTATGAAACAATTCTCTGCCTTGCAGCAAAAGAGAGCTGAATGAATGCAAAACGGATGGTGAAGTCTGACCTCCCCGGACCTTCGCGCCCCACACCGCATCCAAACGTCCTGATCTCCTCCTTGCCTCACCAGAGCACGGCCCAGGGGATCTGTGTGATGTAATGATGCCGAGCCAGTAAGAGTGATCGCAGCAAGGATGACGCTGACGTTCAGATACCACGATGAGGGGAGCTGTGCTTAAATAGCGACACGTTATCTAATTCAATTCTGTCAGCAATCACAGAGCTTTGTTTAAGGATGACTAGTGGAAGGGGTGAGATTCTAGCCCAAATACGGTAGACTCAAAAATCCGCGACCTTAATTGCTGTATTTACAGGCCTTAGGGTCTTGGAAACCAAACAGAAACTCTTTCCTTTTGCTTTCAAGGTTTACCAATAAACTGGAAGGTGTACAGTTGTCAAAAACTCTGTATGTGCAAGGCCAAGATTTCTTACGAACGACGGAGATGGACCCATGAGTGAGTTAATGAATATGGGTACCAATCAGGAATAAATCAAATTCAGTTTGTGGGTCCTTAGATCATGAGGACACTACAGTTCCCTGTAAACCAAGGACTGATGTGTTTTTGATGCCAGCTCCTAAAATTTGAAACTACGATGTGGTTACAGATTTTAAGATTAACTCTCAATTGTATTTCAAACAAATGTGCACACACACAGACACACACACACAGACACACCTGTTCTATATCCCAACTCCTTTGGAAAAACTTACTTTTCTCTTTTTCAAAATATCCCTTTCAATTTCTCAGTCTCCTAAGTAATAAAGATGATAGACAGTTCAAACACAGATCCTCCTCAAGAGAACATGGATGGTTTTGACTGCATTCAAATGAGAGCTCATACCACTATTTTATTATTTGTTTAGATAATCCTGTTTTCATTTGAGACAATCTGCACACCCAGCTTCCAAGGTCAACTGGTGCTTCCAAGGAGCTTTTCAAGTTTTCAGAAAAGTTACAGGACCAGCAGTTTTTTTAGAAGGATGACAAAATCATGTGTTTATGTTCAAGTTAGAACAATTTACAAAGGTCCTATATGGCCCATATATAGGGCTCTTTACAGACTTTCATTAATATATCTTGATATGTGATTGGCAGATTTTCAAACACATCGTTTGAAATTTTATCACGCTAACACAATATTGTAAATCAACATACTTTCACATAAAAACTTTATCATGAATCAAAATCCTCAAAGAACATGGAAAAAGACTTTATTTTAAAAAAATGCTAAATGGAAAAAGGGTGGAGGGTCACATGAACTTGGACATTTAAAGACACAAACTGATTTAAGAAGGAAAGATTTTGGGAAGCCCTAAGACCATAAAGCGATCAACACAAAGACATCTGTCAGGGCGGAGGCGACCTGAGGTGAAGACCAGTAAATCTAATGCAATCAGAAACTTAGGCCAGTTTAACATTTTTTTATGAGGTGACAACCCCCTAACACCATAATCTCGCCTTTCAGGTTGATGACACAGGACTTAATGAGTCAAAGAAAACAACTTCAAACCTCTCTTTTGAACGTGAACTGTCTATTTAGGTTAAAGGTAGATTTGGAGATCCTATTAGCTCCTGGCACAACTGGGAAAAGTCATGTACACACACACACACACACGCACACACACACACTCACTTCAAAGCAAGTAGTTATGTAACGCTAGCAGTGTCTGTTTCTACTCAGCTTCAAAAACAGAACTGAAGCCAAAACTAACAACCCTCCTGCTCATTAGGGAAAGAAAAATGTCTTCTCCCCCAAGTAGCCCCAACAGGAAGCTGAAGTTAACTGCTCTCCTCGGAAACCCACTTCTTTTATGCTTCCCAGAAGGTCTGGGGGTAAACGCACTTTGGAACAGAGCTGCCGGGGAACCCCACGGACACCGTACCTGGGCTCGGGGGGCGCCGAGCACTGATTCACTACTGGGGCCATCCCGGGTCTCACAAACATCTGGTTACCTTTGCATTTCTTCTCCTCCGTCTGGAAGGTCTGGGTGCTGGGCGCGCTCTGATCGCTCACGTCGTCGTGGTCCAGATGGAATATGGAGCTCGTCCAGGTGGCCTGGATGAGGGGTGACTGCTCATGTTTCAGGGGCCCGCGCCGCTCCGGGTGGCTCTTCCGATGCAGGCAGCCTTCAGACATTCCCACGAGCTTCCACTCCGGCTCGCCGTCTGGACAAGGCTTCGGCTTGTCCCAGGCTGGAAGGCCATTTTCTGGAGAGTTGAAAGACACGACATGACGGGACTGTTGGCACTGTCAAGACGGGGCCGAGAGGGGTCTGGAAGGCAAGCGCTTCCCGGGCCCGCGGGGGCTGGCCGCGTGCCTGGACCCTTCCACCCGACGGCGGCGGTAAGACGCACGGGGAGCCGGCCTCGGGCACGGAGCCCCCGGCGCTGGACTGCCTGCGGAGGAGTCAACGCATTTCTCCCGATTTTTAGTGCCTAGAAAGGACATCGGCTCCTCCACCGAAAGGCCGCCCTCTCGCCAGCCCCGCTCCCGATGGCACTGGCTCGGGAGCAAGTGGGCACCAGTTTATGACACTGCTTAGGTGACCATGTGAGGTCTCGAGGGTCAGGGCTGGCCGCGGCCACTTTTCAGATCCTCGGGACATACAGCGTCCAGGATGCGGCCTTGTGTGACTTGGGTGTTATCACCGGCTGACCTGAGGGGCACCCTGTTCCCTGAGAGGGACATGCCACGTGGCTACAGGACCGTGACAACTCGGGCTCCTTGGCACTTTCCAACCCCGCCAGGCCGGCATAAGGGGCTGGGTCTTCCCAGGGAAACTGTGTCAGTGGCTTCCATGTCCTCCCGAACAGGCGAGACGAGATGCGGTCAGCAGACTGTGCTTTAGTTGGGCAAATTAAGAGCTCTGATGACAGAAGGAAAAGCCCCGCGTCTGGCGCTGAGATGCAGGCAGTTAAGGCTTTCTATGTGATGCTCTTTACTCAGTTTGAAGGGGCTTGAAGGTCTGCCCTCTAGAGAATGGGAAACAGCTGGATAATATAATGAAAACGCTCTCACACCAACTTTCCCTGGGGGCAAATTTTACCTCCTTGAATATCTTTACTGAACACAGATATAAGGAAGACAGTAAAAAGAGTAAGTGAATATATATGATTTGTGGATGCATTCACATTAAAAAGCATAATCCATCTGGTCACCCATACTTCCAGAAATTCTGTCTGTCAAAATAGGAAAAAACACAAATAGAGTTCTACTTTTAAGTGATTAGAGACAGTGATGGAAAGATTAATTGATAAGTGAATTTTCTTTTATGCTCAAATGACCAAAGGACTGTAAATGTCCATATCAGAGAGACAGGTCCGCCCTGATCTATGCGCAGTACTAGGAATTGAAAGCTGCTTTTCAGACATTTAAGATAAATTTTAAACTGTTAAATGCAAAAGTTAAACCTGCTTTCGGTTCTCACCAGCCCCCTGTGTAAAGCTGCTGGATGTCTTCAGAGATGTTGGTTAGGGTGGTTTCTCTAAAGGTGTTATCTGCTCCTAGCCCCCTTTGGAAGCTGCGTTTACCATTCTTGGTCTTGGGATTACCTTGTGGAAGTCCTGACTCCTATCCACTTCATTTCTAGTACAGGAGAAGACTGCGAACAGAATCACAGCAAGGCAGTAGTAACCAACACTCAATTTCTCTGTCACAGTAAGTGAAAATACAGCAGCTTGAAATACCCTCACTTGACCAGTAAGAAATGATCCCCTTAAAAAAAAAATCATACAATGCTTGGGATGTAACATTTGATCTTATTCAGAGAAGAGCCCTGAAAATTCACTCTGTGGTCAGATCTGTGCTTGGCCCTGGGTAAGGGGTGTGAAATAGACCCAGGTCTTTCTCCTCAGTTTAGGTGACATTATTCAATTCATGGTGAATCCTAGAGGTCAGGACTCCACCGTGCCAGCTACTGGTGCAGTTAGGGGCATTTATTCTCACTTCCCATGAAAAGAAAACAGAAGATTGGGATCTTGGGAGATTGTATGGCATTTCAGATGAAACACAGCTATGCAGAATTCTTTCAAGGACCTAGTCTCCATGAGGGTTTGATGTGTTCACGAGCTGAATATAAAGTCACTGAATGCAAGGATTAACTCTGCAAAAGGAGTTTCATTCTGTTTCTGCTGATGTGAGATGCATTCTCACCCATGTGTGTTTCCAGGATGTCTACTCAACTGTCACGGACTCTAAATCCTCAGTAAATCACATTGTGCAATATTCCTTTGTAAGTAATGTTAAAGTTATCACAGTGTTTTTGTAGAGCCTCCAACATTTGATTTTTCTGAAGAAATTCTTAAAATGTGGTATTAATTCCCTTGCCTGCACAGAAATTAATAAATACAGCCTAACTGGGTTGAGAGTGCTCCCCAGTGAAGGGAGCTAGTCAACATGTGTGGATGAGAGATGCTGGAAGAGACCTCGCCCAAGGGGACGTTCTTCTTTATAGCACAGCCCATTAAATCTTGCTCAGCACGTCCCCTGGGCCAGCAAGAGGGGGGACTTCTTCCAAGCAAGAGACCTTATTTGGAGGTTGAGACAAGGAATAAGATTGCCTTCCATTTTCCTAAGAAAAGAAGCCAGGGTGGTTTGGGAAAAGAGTTCCATTCATTGGAGCCATGTCCAAGCTCGTAATTACGGTCTGCAATTACACTCATGATAGTGATATTCAGTTGCTCAGTTGGCAGTTTTTTTGGCTGGGGCACTTCTGGGACGAGAAGTCCTGGCTGGGTCACAGAAAAGCTCAAGATGGATTTATTTAAGGAGGGTTCTTGGTTACCTTTCCAAGATGAACAGAAAGTGTTAGCCACTCAGTTGTGTCCGACTCTTTGCGACCCCATGGACTGTAGCCCACCGGGCTCCTCTGTCCATGGGGTTCTCCAGGCGAGAATACTGGAGAGGTTGCCATTCTCACCTCGGACATCTTTCTGACCTGGGGATCGAACCCCTGTCTCTCATGTCTCCTGCACTGGCAGGTGGGTTCTTTACCACTGCGCCACCTGGGAAGCCCAGAATGTTTTGGCTGTGCCAGGCAGCATGTGGGATTTTAGTTCCCAAGATGAAGAAGGCAAACATAATTCCTATTCCATTCCCAAGGAGGGACAAGACACAATTCCAGGCTCCTTCACTTCAGCTGACTGTGGGTTCTGTGAACTGTGTCACCTCCACGTCTGCGTAGCAACAAGGATTCCTGCTATTTCTATGCCTAGCTCATATCCTTTGGTTCCGCCTAAACCCAAACCAATGACACCAGGCTTACTGAGATAGGATGGGGCCTGGGAATTTGGATATTTACCAAGTTCTCCAGAAGGTTCTGATACCCAGCAGAGTTTGAGATCCACAGGGTTAAGAAAATCTAAGGTAAGAAAACAAATTACTGGCAGATTTCGGATAAAAGTGCAGCTTCCTTCTCAGACATGAATGTTTTACACGCCTTGGACTAAATTTGCATTATAATTAAAATACTCATCAATTGTTTTGGAATCTACTGCTCAAAGCATTAAAAGTCAGATGTTAACTGGCTGTTGTCTTGTAGATTGTAGGAATGGATGTAGATACACATTCACACAAAAACCTGTCCTTCTGAGGATTACCTGGGACACAGATGTGCACAGTAGTGGAAATACATTTTTAAAAGGGAGACTCTGGCAATGATAATATCTTATAGTTCCTGAAGCATGCGCTTCTAAATGGATTTCAGTTAACATCGGGCTTTTAATATTTCATATTCTAGACATCAAGAGAATTAATTTAATTGGGCAGTTATGAGGCAAATTGATAAATAAGTAGAATAAAAGAAATAAAAAACTAGAGGGGGCACGTGAACTGCTGCTAAAATGACTAAACACACATTGACTTGTGTGTCTCAGGGCATTTAAATTTGAATGATTGCATTTGTGTTAGATGACCATAATTCTAAGGGCTCAAATGACCCAGAACTGACCTTAAAGTGTTCTTTTCCAAAAAGAAACAAACATGAATCCCACAGAACTACCTACCATCCTATCTCTGGAAATTTCATTAAAGATAATAGAAAATAAATGTGTCCATCCAAAAAAAGAATTATATGAAAATATGCAAGTATTTCAGGACACAAAAGCAAGCTGATATCACAGAAAAGTGCTAAGACAAGGGAAACAGAAGTATGCCAGAGTGCTCAGCAAGTGGCTGCTGAGCAGGCTGGGGTTTCATGGCACCAATTATGAGTGTTGAGTTTGCATTAAAAGGCCATCAATACAGGGCACTGAGACCGCCAATCATATTCTGTATTCAGGGGATGTACACATAATATGCTTTGCAAACCCAGCGAGTGTGTAGAATTATCATTGTAAGGCATGAGGCCACCAAGGTCTCTTATTTCTGCTCACATTTTTTATTCCAACCCTAAACTTTAACCCTGTGGAATTCTCAGACTATGTACACATCCACTGACTTTTATTTGTGGGGTCATGTGGAATAGGAGACTCATGTTTGGCTGAGCATTGACTACGGACCGGGGATAGAACTAGCCACTTTGATTTACCTTCATGAACATCCCAGAAGTACACACTGTTCTACTGCCTGATGGACAGGGAAACTAAAGTCCAGAGAAGCACTTCATCTGCTACTTCATATCTTTTGTACTGTTAACTGATACGGTCTCATTGGTTGGCTTAGTCTGATAAGCTGCCATTGACCTATTAATAGCCATCATTTGATGATGACTTTGAAAGTTCTTTGCACACTATATTTATTGCCTTGTTCGATTTTCCCAGTCACTTGTTGATGTTCACAATTCGTCTCCCAGCTTTCACTCTCTACCACCTACAATCCATGGTCCACACAGCAGTCAGAATGACCTTTGAAAAATGTACATCAGGGTAGACTTCCCTACTGCTGAGAATCTTCTGGCGACTTCCCATCAGTGCTGGAGTGAAGTGCTCAGGTCCTGCTGCAGCTTGCAGGCTCTGTGGCATTTATCAGCCTGTCCCGCTGAGCCTTGCTCCTGTGCCTCCGCCTCCAGCTCTCTGTCCTTTGGACACGTGGACGTCAAACCTGGGAAGCTCATTCCCACCACAGAGTCTTTGCAGAGACTCTTTCCTATGGCCGGGGTGCCCTTTCCCAGTCCTTATACAACCACCTCCTGTTGTCTCAAGAAAACTGCCAGGATCCACCTCCCTCTCCCTTTTACAGGAAGGTTAGACTTCCCCCTTTGAAGAACCTATCGGGTTGCATTTCTCCAGGAAGATAACTGAAATGAGAAACCGAATGGGCTAGACTGGTGTCCATCTTGGTGGAGGGAGACGGGATGAGTTTGGAAGACTGGAGTCCCAAGTGTTCCAAGAGAGACTGAAGGGTCTTACTTTTGGGAAGATCACTTCCTGACTCTAAGTGTCAGTTTTGCCATTTGCAAAAGGGCAACATAATATTGCTCATGGGATTTTTCTAAGACTCAAATGAAATAATGTATGTGAATGTATTTAGTAATTAAGTGCTCTTCAGGTGAACATAACGTGTAACCACCTAATATATATCTTGTACCTGACCATACGTATTGCCTTCTATCCAAACAGAACAATACTATTAATAAAGGAATATGTTACTTTTGAGCATCCAGTGGCTCAGACAGTAAGGAATCTGCCTGCACTGCAGGAGACTCAGGTTTAATCCTTCGGTTGGGAAGATCCCCTGGAGTAGGACATGGC